TAAATTCAGTAAATTTCAAATCACACGCGAGACGGTTCAAAATTAGTTGTCTCGCCTAGATTTTCTTTTTTATTTTGATCGTCGTTTCGTTTGTTTTATGGAAAAATATATCCGTAATAACATTTGTCCGTGCTATATAATAATTCATTGCTCGAATATTATTTATCATTCGATAGGATTAAGCAAAGTCAGAAACAATTTGAGCGCTAATTTTTTTTCTCTTAATCCGTCATTAGTTTATTAATATAAAAGACATTTAATTTGCATCGTGAAATTGTTAATTTACCGTGGAAAGTTGAATGTTCTCCTACGAAAATCAGAATCGAGGGAAACATAATAATTATAATTGCTGCAGAAACGGGTTATCGATCGATATAAATATATTATGCATGATCAACTCTCGACCAATTTATTATTTATCAGCGGACCCACTTTTAGTTATAACGGAAACAATTAATTAATGTATGCAACGATCGCGGAATATCGAATTTATGTTTACAGATTACAAGTGGTACGCGTGAATACTGATTTGTTATTGGTAACGATTAATTATTAATGCAGCTACGTTTATTTAATACCCGTATTCGCAGAAGTAATTATTTAAAATAATTTCGAGATACTTAGACACGGGGTTCTACCTTGAACATTTTTAAATTGCCGATGCAACAAGGACTTTGTATTTACGACCACGTTTTCTGCACGTAACAACAAATTCGCCGATTTAATGTTGGCATCGCCGATTTATAGAACACGGAAATTATTCGCATGCGCAGATCAGTTGCGACCAATTAATTTCACCTTGGACAGTACTAATTAAGAGACACATTAATATATAAAATACATATTAAGCGATTCATTAAACGCGGTTAAATGTACGCGACTGCCGCAAACAAAAACTGTCCAATCTTCCAGTGACCGTTCGAATTACAATTAGCTATCGCAACGTCCAAAATCGTCGGACAGTTTAAATTTGCAATTGTACGTATCGGAAATGTTGTTGAGATTTAATTAAGTTTATTATTTTCATATCTCCGGCTGGACGAGATCGTTCGCTCGGTTATACCTGGCCAATATTGATGCATGGTAAATTAATATTCAAGCCACATTACTTGGAGGAACGGAGAAGTGAATAAATTACCGTTCCCCCGGACGATTATAATTGTTCGACTATATAAAAGCCGGCCAAGTTCCTCGGTTTAGTAGAATGCCTAAGCTCGTCCCCCGATAAATTTTCACTCGCCGCAGAAGTTACCACGCTCCCATAATTCTGCCGTGCCTCAAATTCTACGGTCAGCGGTTCAACGTGTACGGAAAAAAGAGCTTTGCTTTGGGGGTCTCACTAGAGAACATGGAAGCATTTAGCTGCGCTGATTCAGCAGAAATTAATTGTACGTAGTTGAATAGTTTCGCATCAACAATTTTTATTCCGGACGAATGGCACGCGCAGCCACACTGCGGGCTTTCTTACGTTCAACAATTGCTTACTCGAACGTGGAAACGTTTAATAGTACGTAATACAATAATGTCAGTAATGTTCGGATTGTCCACAAAAATGGACAATTTTGGAAGCGAAGATACAATTGTTCGAGCCTTGTGGCACGTTTTTTATGGTTATCGATTGTCAATAACTAGCTGCAAGGCTTATAATCGTATCTCCACTTCCCAAAATTTCCATTTTTGTGCACAATCTGAGCGTCAATTAGGGAGACATTGCTGTATACCTTATTTAATAGACAAATTCAACTATGTGTATCTTAATTTCTCGCGGAAAAAGACGTAGGAAATTCATTTTTTTTTTACATTGTTCCATCACTACAAAAATTCTGAAAAATTTGAGGACCCTTCTTTTGGTAGTATCTTATCATACCGTTAAAATGGTGAGGGCATAATTTATGGTTTAAGAAAAATCTGCATTTTTCCGAATTTATTTTTGATTTTGATTTTTTGCTTTTTTGCAACCACTGTTTGCAAGCGAAAAATCTAGAAAGGTTCTCTGATATTCAACTTGTGATCCAAAATATATATATATATATATATATATATATTTTATATATATTTTATTATATTATATTTTATATATATATTTTATATATATATATATATTTTAGACCATATTTTTTTCAAAATTTGGTGAGATTGTTTAGTCTAATTGTTGAAATTTTGCAAAAAGTGATTGTCTCTTGACCAGATATGGAACAGTGCAAATTTTGTTATGTCAAGGTTATGTCAATGAATGTCTCTTCACTAGTCTTGCAATTTTTGTTGATAAACTCGTGAGGGCAGATTTGACGATCTAATCCTATTATGCCCTTTATCTCTGTCTCACGATTCGATGACAATAGAATCGCATTAGTTACACGATTAAAAATATACATACTGATTTACCATGGTAAGAGTGGAACATGTAAAAAATGGTAAAGATGGATTTGAATTGTTTCTTAAACTTGAAAAAGTTCTTCCATGGTCATATCGATTGTTATTTCGAGGCTTTCAGTTTTGTTCTGTACATCAACATCGTTTCTTTACGATTCAATGTTACAGTCGGTATTGAAACGAACTGAAAATTCTATTGGGTTGGCAACTAAGTAATTGCCGATTTCAGTTATATAGATGTCTCTCACTCCCATTTTTATGATATCCGTAAATGTTATATTATAAAATTATTATTATTATTATTATTATTATTATGTTGTGTTTTATTATCCGTGAGTGTTAGCAACTGGACAAATTGAATGCAGCGGTCAAGGAAAAGCGACCAGAATTGGTCAATCGTAAAGGTGTCATTTTCCACCAGGACAATGCTAGGCCGCACACGTCTATGTCCACTCGGCAAAAATTGATGGATATTGGTTGGGAATTGATGTTACACCCACCGCATAGCCCTGATCTCGCGTCATCGAATTACCACTTATTTCGATCCCTGGACAACTTCCTTCGTGGTAAAACTTTTAACGATGATGACGCTGTAAAATCTCACTTAACTCAGTTTTTGGCCGAAAAGTATCAGACTTTCTACGAGCGTGGAATTTTCAAGTTGTCAGAGAGATGGCAAAAGATCATCGAACAAACTGAAAAATACATTACAGATTAAACTTCGATCCAAGTAAAAAAAATTTTTTATTTCATTGAACAAATCGGCAATTACTTAGTTACCAACCCAATATAAAACCATAGCCTTAAAATGATCTCGAAAATGAAAAAGACCTGTAAAGGTCGTGTAAGACCGAAACAAATACAAAGAATTCGCACTGTTCGCCCTTTCTGTCACTCTTTCAATCCTTCCTTGCCATTGTTTCACGAAGACAGAATAGCGAGGTCTGCGGCGTGATAGTAACTCGATTTTTCGAGATCGGCGATCCTTTGTACCGCCGCTACGCACTCCGAAGGGTGAGAATAAGCCGCGCGCGGTACTAACGTTAAAATAATATACCGGGTTTTCTAAAACTTGGCCAGTCTGTTATGCAATTTAATCTTCATCCTCTTAGCGGTTATATTATTAGAGAACCGGCAATGGTGTATAATTTAGTCGGACCGTTCCGTCGTCGAAGAAGAGGGAGAAATGAGAAGCAGCTCATAAACGAATATTAACGTGCATCCTGCTCTCGCCGTGAATTCTTTTATTCTCCGTAGACGAAGCAAACGAGCGCCGTGCACAATTTCAAGCATTCTTTCGCGAAGGAAGCGTGCGAGTTTTTGCGTAGAATATTAAATTTCGAATTTATGAGCCGGGGAAATTGCATCCACCGTAACGAGCAGGTAACTCCGCCGCGCTCTGCCTGGACAGCAGAGGAAGAGTCGATGGCAACGCAGACTTCTGCCGATACAGACGGATTATTAATGATGTTCCATGTAATTAATTTATCTTGGCGACTGCGCGCGCGCGGTATGCGTCCCGGATCTAATTACCCTGGCGGGATCGTGCGCTTTAGAATGCATCTTTAAGCAGTTTCGTAATCGAATGTACAGATATCAATGATTCATCCGGCCGCCGATAAAACATTCCTGGCGACTGTGCACGGAAAACGTTTACGATGAAGCTTGCCCGCGTCCGATAACCACGGTTAGCGAAAATTCACTTTGCCGTAACTTTTCGCATTTACGAAGCCCGTCGATAAATAATAGTCTAAGGATAAACAAGAACTTCGCTGTTCTCTAGCCCGCGATTGTTATTCCATTCCGAAGGGTGCACTTTTCTGTGAAGTACACTTTCTAATAGTACTTTTAGGACAGTTTATGGATTTTTATTCGATTTTTAACACCAGATTTACGGAACCCGTCGGAACGACGGGTCACTAATTTTTTTAACTTACGATTATTCATATCGCGAAGATTCATTTATGAGTTATTTATTGAATTTATGCTTATTCAATTTATATTATATTTACGGCAAATGTTACAATAATACTTGTTAGAAATCAGAATAAACGTCTTATATAAATTAATTATATTAATTTAAAAAAATAAAAAAAATAAAATTAATGATATTAATTTATATAACCTTAATTAATTAACTAATTTATAAAATCTCTTTTATAGATTAATATAATACTGCTGTTTTTTGTGCTCCGTAAATCTAGTGTTAACTTGATCGAATTTAACTCTTTACACTACGATCTAATTTATAGCTACGCTGATTAACACTTCTTCGTTCATTCTTGTACATCTTTATTCAGTTTCATTCCTAGATTACGAGAACGGACGAATCGAATTTTGTTTCCTATTTGGATCGAACGAATAATATTTATATTTAGTAGATCGTGTATGCAATTTGTTTCACGTATCTGTCTTGTTATTATCGTGCAAGTGATTAATGTGCGCGTTGACTGTCATTTTGGTTGACATTTTCGCAGAGGTGCTACAAATGTTTATTTCATTAAAGCAAGCTGCACGTTGTCCACTACAATGGAAATCGAAAATGAATTTTCTGTCCTACGAATTGAAATAATTCTGGCACGATGGCTACAACGTTTTCTTTGGTTAGCGGAGATGAAATCACTTACCTGTGTGTAGTCGCCGTCCTTCATCTGGTAGTCGAAGACGTAAAAATACGTTTTAGGCATCGGCTCTTTGTCCGTCTCGATTATAGGCGCGACGTGAGGGTTGTTAGGTTTCTTCGTGTGCCGAAGGGTGAAGAGATCGCCGGTTTGCACCAACGGTGCCACGAACTGAGCGTCGCTGAGCGCCTGGACGCAAGCATCTTTTGTGTTTATGGGGTGCTGAACGGTGCGCTCCCAGTCTGTGTACTCATTCACCACCTGGAATGTCGTGACAAAATTGATTGTAAGTATGATTTAGAGTTGAAGTTGACGCTAAACCTAATCCACGCCGGTCAAATGACCGATTTCACAATTTTTATTTCGTGATTATCGAAGTCATAAAGCTGCTTCCGTTAAAAATTCTTGGATATATTTCTTCATTCGGGCACACACTATTATAAAAATTGTGACAAATTTGAATAAATTTGAATAAATTCTATCTTGTGTAATTCGTACGAGGAAATTTTTCTTATCCGTTTTTAGACCTCGGTAGGTTCGTTTTTTTTTATTTTTAATTCATAGTAAGTTTATGATTTATTTCACTTGTACTTTTTGTTGGAAATACGCCCTAATATACATGTGAGCAATGCCTGCAGGTTGTGTGATCGAGCGTGGTTTGTGTTGCGACTGTTTTTCACTTCCGTGTGAGCTTCGCATCAAGTAGAACCGTGAGAGCGAGTGTGGTTATAACTTTTCTATTATATTTATATATATATATATATATATATATATATATATATAATTTTGACTTGTATCTTAAAACATGATCCATATATGCCAAATTGTTAAAAGTGTTGAGATTATTTATTTGTATATAGGTTTTACAATAGACTTGAATATACATACATATATACATATTGTTACATAATCTTAACATATATACATATATGTATACCTTTTATATTCAAGTCTATTGTAAAACCTATATACAAATAAATAACCTCAACACTTTTAACAATTTGGCATATATGGATCATGTTTTAAGATACAAGTCAAAATTTTCAAAAATATGACTTGCGCCACTATGATTCTGATATAATCAAGCAGGGTGTTTCATAATTTATGGCACAAATTGGGTCAGGTAGATTCTATGGCTGGAAATATAACGAAAATCAGGAAATAACAATATTGCGTGTGAGACTTCGTTTTTGGGGAAATCAAATTTAAATATCAGTCGAATACATTTTGACCAATAATTTCACTGAGAATAATAAACTAAATTCAATGAGAAAAATACACTGATTATTTTAGTATCCTGTGTTTAATGAATTCTTCGATCGTATCCTGAAAATAAACAAGTCTTGACATTTTATCATGTGTACAAACGATCGTATTAGCGATCTATAACGATCGGTTATTAATTAAATACACGTATACTAGGACTGATATTTGAATGCAATTTTTTTCGATAACGAAGCCTCCCTCGCAATCTTGCTATTCTTGATTTTCCTCTTACTTCCAGCCATAAAATCTACCTAATCCAATTTGTACCATGAATTATGAAACACCCTGTACGTGGGCATATTTAATTTCGCATAGATCTCTATATGTCACGGTTGATTTAGGTCATAGTCGATAAACTTCTTTACGAAAGTTATCGATCGATAGAGCTAGCGAATGACTTTATTAGTAAGCGCTGATAACGTAATCTGATCGATAGCGAACGCATAAAAATCGTCGACCTATTTCTACGTTCGTGTCATGCGAGAAAACTGTTTACTATTTCATGATTCATTCTGATTTTTCTTTCTCGTTGTATACTGTGTTTTAATCAAACATTTCGAATACTACGTTTTACGAAATAAAATATGCACTTTCGCACACTATATCCCGACATTCGAATTCGTTGGATTTTCATGCCTGGATAGACACTGTGGACAAATTTTTAAACTTCGTAAACATGCTCTGTTATAATAACAGCATATTTTCATTGGAAATAGTAATTATAAGTGTCCTGAACAGTTTGTTCGTTACCGATAACCATTATCGACAAGTGAAATTTATTTCAACGGCTTATAAACAAGTTTCTGTTATTGGCATAACCTTATGACATAATCTCGACATAATCTTAACATATTTGGATAATCGTTGACACGAAGTATGATCAGATGACAAGAGGATTCGTAGGTCGAAGCGTCGGATAATCGAGATTCTGCAGCTGAATAAACTGAACGATTTTAAAATTACAAATATTTTGTCACCGTTTTCATGATATATTCTCATGATAACCATTATCGACAAGTGAAATTTATTTCAACGGCTCATAAACAAGTTTCTGTTATTAACATAACCTTATGACATAATCTCGACATAATCTTAACATATTTGGATAATCGTTGACACGAAGTATGATCAGATGACAAGAGGATTCGTACATCGAAGCGTCGGATAATCGAGATTCTACAGCTGAATAAACTGAACGATTTAAAAATTACAAATATTTTTCCACCGTTTTCATGATATTTGTTTCGCTCGTGAAACTATTTGTCCAAAAGCTCGAAAAATTGTTCGCGAACAATTCTAGGTCCCAGCGTTTTGATTGGCATTGAATCGGTACACCGCGTGACGTAACATTGCACGTATATCTATTTCATTTCATAACGAAACCGTAATCCTCCATGTTTTTATTATCCTGTACGCCGACGAAAATTAAAACACCGATGGAACGCGTTCATCTAGGATTTTAGATTAACACATTTTCCCGGACTTTTTATTTCTGTCGTGATCACGCTGCGCCAATCATTCTCGCGAAAAGCATTATACCAGCGAAGTTATCGTTGTAACAATTCGATGATGGAACAATACCCGAACAGAGCACCCCACGTACTGTCACACGTATCGATTACAAACGGCGCATATTCCAATTTGGTTGAACGTCATAGAGTTTATTCGAATGTAAAAGCAATTAGCGAGCACTCAACGTATCGCGTTCTAATAAAAAACGCGGGATAAAAACGTCTGGCCGGGTATGACACAAATAATCCAGACACGGTGATCGGCGCCGGGAGGTTTCCGAAAAATGCACGCCGCCACCGGCGCGTCGTTCGGCAACAATTAAACGCGAATCGCGCCATAACTACGATGAAATTCATTGGAGCCTGAGCGCGACGCGGAACGAAATTCAAGCAGCCGCGGGCGGAATCGCGACGCGAGCTCGTTTTATTAACGATACACACGCGAGCCTACAGCCAGCCTGGTTCCGTCGTCTCGCCCGGGGAGAAAGTTCCATGCCTGCAGAGAGTATCCTGCTTTTATTATTCGAAACAGTTTTTCCCGAAGCGACACGCGGCGCCGCGGAACGCGAGCAGAACGCCGGGCGGTTCCGCGGCGCGGCACGCGCTTTGAGGGACCATCCACGAAAATTGCAAGTTCCGCCAAAGCGACTCCGTCAACGACAATGACGATGATGAAATCGACAAACGAAATACCGTCCTTCCCCCCTCCGCTCCGCCCCGCGACAGCAATTCGGTTCCATATGGCGCTCGTATTTTGCCTTTCCATTTGGTCGCTACGAAATTTTTATGAAACATCGATGCACGGCGAATAGTGCTTCTTTGATTTGCAGCCGATGTTGCTGGCGGAAATTTGGAAAAAGTATCGGAGATATGAAAGAATACAAAAGGGGTCTGCGGCCTCGCCGCGAAATCTAGGCTGAATCGATACACCGGATACTTTACAGATTTTTCGGGATGTTGAACAAGTTTTTGTTTCGAGGATTGTGTTTAACAGCTGTTAGCGGTGTCGCTTTGACAGCTGTACAGTAAAATGACCTTGGCGTTTTGTTCGTAGATGCGTGAATAACGGAATTAGCAGCTGAAACAATTGCGTGGGCCACGCTGTACAGCATGGAATAATAATTATACTTCTTGAATGTCTCGGTTATTTGTAAGGATATTGGAAAACATTTTATGCGAAGTGAATGTTTTATTTAACGCTAGATTTACGGACCATAAAAAATAGCTGTTTTATAAAAGCTAGTTTATAGCTAGTTTGTAAAAGTAACAATAAGATATTTATTCTGATTTTTAACAAGTGTTATTGTAACATTCGTCGCAAGTAACTTATAAATTGAATAAATAACTCATAAATGTATCTTTATGATATGAATAATTAAATAATATAGTTAGTAAATTAGTAAATTAGTAAATTAGTAAATTAGTAAATTAAAAATTAGTGACCCGCCATTTTGACGAGTTCCGTATATCTAGTGTTAATATTCTATTTCCTGCTGCGACGACGTAATGTCAGCTGTAACTCGCTGTCTGATTGGTCCGCATTTTTCGTTAGTAACTCGTTGACAAAGTCGCGTATGACAAACACATGTGATTTATATGATGAATATGTTTCGAACGTGGAAAAACGTCAAAGATGCTTCGTGAAATTTAGAAATGGTGTTTTTGACACTAATTCTATCATGCTGGTCGAAACGACTGGTCTTACGTTAATTATATTCAGATTGCTCGATNGTAACATTCGTCGCAAGTAACTTATAAATTGAATAAATAACTCATAAATGTATCTTTATGATATGAATAATTAAATAATATAGTTAGTAAATTAGTAAATTAGTAAATTAGTAAATTAGTAAATTAAAAATTAGTGACCCGCCATTTTGACGAGTTCCGTATATCTAGTGTTAATATTCTATTTCCTGCTGCGACGACGTAATGTCAGCTGTAACTCGCTGTCTGATTGGTCCGCATTTTTCGTTAGTAACTCGTTGACAAAGTCGCGTATGACAAACACATGTGATTTATATGATGAATATGTTTCGAACGTGGAAAAACGTCAAAGATGCTTCGTGAAATTTAGAAATGGTGTTTTTGACACTAATTCTATCATGCTGGTCGAAACGACTGGTCTTACGTTAATTATATTCAGATTGCTCGATTTACGAAGACTTTTTCCTCAGAAACGATTCACTAAATTCTAGTATGCAAGCTTACGTAATAATCGAAATGGTGAGATGTTTAAATAAATTCAGTCTTGTCATTCTTATAAAGCAACATATGTTAGTCACTTTTTAGATTTCGGTATAATGGACCATTTACCATTGCACATGCACTGATGCGCTCAAAGAAAGATCTAAAGGCTTGCAAGTGTAGCGCTCTTCGAGCAATTTATATTTCTTCTTTGGAATTTCTTCGTAAATGCATTAATAACGGAGTTATTATTAACTACCTGGTAACAATTGCGTGGGCCACCCTGTATATAGAAAAGTGTTCTGACGTGTAGCAAATATTTGTATTCATAATTTTGAGTACACGAGATCTGAATATAAATCCGCGAGTTATTAATTTTATTATTATTATTTTTTTTATTATTATTATATTATTATTATTATATCATTGTTAATATTGTTTATATTATATTATATTATTATTATATTATTATTATATCATTGTTAATATCGTTTATATTATATTATATTATTATTATATTATTATTATATTATTGTTATTATTATTTAATTCCGATGTGTTCCGTTCTCAAAAATAGACATACTCGAGAAAATTCAGTTTTGCAAAAACTGAAATCGATGCAGAGAAACCGAGCGTTCGAACAAATGAAAATCTATAAGAATCGTCCGCTGATTACTGAAACACAAAATTGTTTGTCGCACAGTGTAATAAGTGACTTGCCCGCGCGGATTGTGTTTTGAATAATATCACCGTGATTTCCATTCGGCGGAGTAATACGGAATCATTGACGGCGGTCGGCATGGTACCGCTTATCAAAGAGAGAAGCTTTTCATTTGAATGCGGGACGAGATACGAATTTTCGCGGTGTTTTCGCGCGAACGGAAACCCGATCGCGTCGGGTGCAATTAAATCGCGATTTGCGGTTGAATAACGTTTTACGATTATGGATAATTAGGCAGGGAAGCCGGGAACGATATGTTTTTATAGTTAGCTGGCGGGGGGAGCCGCACGGTGCCCGATGATCCGGCGAACGTTCGCCGAATTATTCCCTAAGAGCATTATGAAAACGAACGCGGAATGGACATAATCTTCGGAATCGGTAGCTTATCTGAATATTCCCAGGACGAGCAACGCTGATGCTCGACGCGGCTGCAAAATACTCGCGGCTTTCGGCTGCTTCGCTCTTTATGCTTGGGTTGCGGTCAGATACGAAACCCGCGCCGAGATATGTTTATTAACAGTCTTATCGGCGCTAATGGAATACGCGGCATAATTAAATCGGCAGATGCGGGACGTAAACGACTGGATAATAGGAATAAATTGAACGCACGCGCGTATGTTGCCCATGGGAACGCCGCGCGGATCCGGCAAACCGTGTTTCCCGAAGTGTGATTTCATTCCATGTCCAATCCTTATTTTAATTCTCGCGAACTAAATTTCTGATTATACGGTTTGCACACGCCCGCGGTCGAGGAGCCGCTGAAAGCTTTAAATATTGAATTCACTGCTGCGTAAAAGTGTGCGATTGTTACTTTGAAAACTCGATTTGCCCGTGTACAAAGCGTCGTATGAAAACGTTTGTTCCCCTCTTTCTTTTGTATATCCATCATTTCGGCGCACTTCATTATTTAATTGGAAACATTGTCGCGAAAGATGTAATTGTTCGCATGGAAGGTAAGCGCTGCTGGTGACTGAGGTACAAATTAAAAGCTACGGCTTCGGTGGCTCGAGTTGAACAATTTAGGGTGAGTTTTATAAATTAGAAGAGAACATTCTTCAACGTAACTTCAACGCGCGCGTAACGAACCTTCTAAAACGTAGTAACTTTTTTCAAATTCAACTAAATGACTTGAATTTTTTTTAGGTGACAGACGAACTGGTCTACTAAACCATGACTAAAATGCCTTTTTTAACCCTCTATGGGCCGAATTGTTTTCTTAAATATAAAAAGATTTATGCAACGGAAAATCTGTTATTATAAACCTATATGTGCTAATTGAAAAAATATTTAACAGTTTAAAGAACTTTATTATAATCAATTCAATTTGTAACTTTGAAGTAACAACGGCTTACAATGTTTCCACTTGTGTGCATAAATGCTTAAGCGTGAAATTCCATAAAACAGTTTGAATTTGGCGTTAAACATTGATGTACGTTGCATTTGGAATTGGTTGCCGAATAGTTTCTTGTGGTCCTGAATTTTTTCTCATCCGATGATAATTCGGTACTAAATTCATCGTCATTGTCAATAATATTTATGCGTCGTCTCAGAATCTAATAAAGAATCTTCGGATCTATTACCGCTGATGTGTCTAATTCTAATTCCTCTTTTATTTTTATGTGATTTTGTATCCATATTTTGGGTATTTGATATATAAATTTGAAAATAGAAGGAAGCACAACTATTATCCTAAATACACTCGAATCTACCACAATAGTCCAATGTAACCTGAAAGTTACAAAACTGTATCATATACAAATAGTAACAAAATGATTATTGAAATGCAAATAAATAAATTGTTATTGATATACGAACCCAGAGCTATTATATACGCTTTTTTTATTTAGTAAACACCGACGAAAGCACAAATAATCTTAATTGCACAGTATGGTCCCTTTGGTTTCTATCTGCAGACAACTTGCAAGGTATTTATTTTGACATTTCAGGTTGATGATGCAGCCAACCGCCATCAATATTGTTATTGGTTATTTCAGAGGCATTATATAATTAAGACGAATACATCATCTTGTGAAAAAAACTAAAACTATTTGGTAAAATGTGGATGTATTAGCTTGTGACTTGAAAGTTACATGGGCCCATAGAGGGTTAAATTTTGCTATTACCTTAGGATGACAAAAAAAAATTAAGAAACTTTCGTTTCTTAACTTCTTTATTCGAGCCTATAATAAAAATTTAAAAAATGTCTTTCGCAGATCTTGATAACTCATATGCGTGCTGAAAATTTGTTAAAAATCGATTAACTCAGAGATTCGAGGCGTTGGAAGGTTCAAGAAACTGCAGATTTCTTCCAGTTTTGGGGGAAAATCGTGACAAAACTGCGATTTTTGCCATTTTTAATTTGTTGTAACCCACATCAACGTCAACTTAAAATATCATCATACTATAAAATTTTCAGCGCGCATATAAGTTTATCGAGATCTACGAGAGAGGCATTTTTTAAATTTTCTTTATCGACTCAGATAAGAAATTTAAAAAGCGAGAGCTTTTTATCCTTTTTGTTATTCCAGGTAACAGCTCAATTAAAAAAAGAAAGCATTTTATTCGTCGTCTAGTAAACTAGTTATTGCGTTTTAAAAGGTGTACGAATACTTTTGTGGACCACCGTATGCGCGCGCGTGTGAATAAATTTTATTTAATTCATAAAATTAAATAAAACGAGTTTTCTTTCTCGAATTATACGTGTAACGTTACGCTAACGAAATAATCACGGTGAAACTACTCACTGTGTAAAATATCTCCGTAAGATGGTACACGTAGGTGTTCCTCACGTAAGTTCGAATGATTCGGTCCCTCCTCTCGCCTTCGAAGCCCAGCTGGACGTCTTTCTCAGCAAATTTCCATAAAGCTTCGCTCGTCGTCACGCCGAATAACAAATCGTATTTGTTGTTACTCGTGATGGGCTCGCCGTGTTCTGCTTTCTTCGGAAGTGGGCTGAGAAACAGAAAATTGTCAACATGAAGCACGTCGAAGTACAGTCAATTCTTCCCAATTGTCTCTCAGCTTGTGAACAAGAATGGACAACTTCAGAAGAGGGGATACGACTATTCGAGTCACGCGGCTCGTTTTTATAGTCACCGATTGTCGACAACTGTAAAAACGAGACGCGAGGCTCGAATAATCGAAAAATAATAATAATAACCTCTTCTCAGTTGTTCATTTTTATCTACAAGCTGAGTGATAATTAAGGAGAATTTATACACGTCGGATTTATACAGCTGTAATAATTAAAATTCTTTTATTCTCAATAGTTAGCTAATAGAAGAAGAACGTTTATATGTATCTTGTGTCTACGTTTAGTTTAAAGCTTAAGTGTTCAGAACAGACAAATAAAGTTTCGTTTCAATTTGAAAGGGAAGAATAACATTTTATTTCAATTTGAAAGGGACGAATGACATTTTATCTTAATTTGAAAGGGACGAATAAGATTTATATTTTGTAGTTTCTGTTTGGAATCTTTATCACGACTGCGGCGAAGTTATTGTACGGGATTAACTCTTTGGGGCACAGTGGGACTAAAAATGTCCCATCTTTTTGATGCACGGTAATGCATGGTGGGACTTCTCAATAGTTAGCTGATAGAAGCAGAACATTTATATTTATCTTGTGTCTACGTTTACCTTAATGCTTAAATGTTCAGAACAGACAAATAAAGTTTCGTTTCAATTTGGAAGGGAAGAATAACATTTTATTTCAATTTGAAAGGGACGAATGACATTTTATCTCAATTTGAAAGCGACACGAATAAGATCTGTATTTTATTTATATTATTTATTTTTTAACGAGACTTATATTATTTATTCGACTGCAGTGAAGTTATTATACGGGGTCAACTTGTTCTTCTGAAATTACGCTTGGCAAATTCTCGTGCGTAAAAAGTCCGACGATTTTAAATATTAATGTTCGAAAAGTGTAACGTTATATTCGTCTACGATGCATGTTCACGTGTCTCTAGGAGAAAAAATTATTGCACGTAGTTGTCTCGACTGGCAGGCCAGTTGTCGCTGGCACGATCCGAATATGCTAATGACTTGGTGGGACAAGGCTGGGTCATTTACAATCCCGCTAATGAACCGCACTAATGTCCGCGGCGGATCGAGCTGGTCCTGCATCTACTTTCCATTTAATGAGGGGCCTCGATAAAGTCTCCGGACGGGAAACGAAGATATTAAGGAAACTTGCCGGAGATGAGGACGTTATCGATACTTTGCTAAGAGTAGTTTAAATAATCACTCATTCTGTCGCGCCGCCGCGCCGGTTACAAAGTAGAAATGTAATCGACGATTAAAGCCCGCAGTGTAACTTTTTTGGTTTGCGAGTGTTTGCTGCAGGTTTTGAAAAAAAGTTCACGAACTTTTACTGATCAAGTAGAAATCTAAATTTCTCTTACTTCGCGCGCGCGCGCGCGTTTAGACACTCGAATTTTATAGCATATGTAAATATGATATAAATATAATTATAATATAAGTGTAATATAAATATAATATAAATATAATATAAATATAAATATAATATAATATGAATATAATATGTAT